TGACATCCTACTCGGGCCCGACAGGCACGAGACAGCTCAGAAATCATGCCTCGAATCTTTGGGGCGGGTCCTACAGGAGACCGTACGAAAGGTCGTTTGGCTCCTGTGAGATTCTGTGCTTACCAGAACGCTTGTTGTTCATGTTCTGGTAGAGGAGAGAGGATGGCACTGCATGAGGCATCATAGAGCACATGCACTTAGTCCATACTCCCCGCCACAGCCCACCTAAAAACCAGCCACGGAACCCTGAAACACCTCAACCCCCTTCCCAAACCCTGAGCAAGACAGCCTGGGCCAAGGCCACATACGCCGCCCGCAGGATTGCCCAGTGCAGGTGGATTTGGGGGGGCGAGGACCCAACCTTGGTTGCTGAACTCTTCACGACAGTAAGATTTTGTTGAATATAACGGGACAGCCCCACAGCTTTCGTAACCGTGGAGGGCGTACCTTACCTGCTTCTGGAGTTCTGGTGGACGGGCTTTAGCCACAAATCCGGTCTTGAGGTTTGGAGAAGTGCTAATGCTGCCGACTATGGCTGCGAATGCCTACGCTTGCGAGAGGGTCTTCTAAAGTGCTTAAAGAGGCCGAGGCCCGTGAATAAAGTTTACGGCTAGGGGGTTTAGGGACTATGATTGGTTCAGAGTTTTAGGGTTTAGGGTTTAGAGTTTAGTCGGCTGGCCCGCAGTTTGCTTCCTCAGGGGTGCCCGGCAGTGGCACTAGGCCTGGATGCGAAAGGGTTTAGGTGTTAGGATTGAGGGGCCTTACACCTGAGAGTTTCGGGTTTGGGGTGTTTGGGGTTTAGGGGTTTGGGGCATCTTAAATGTTAATACTTCATAATCGTACTCCTCCGCGCGCCCTGGCAAGACATGGGATGCAAAACCACGTCTGACCGTGTGGGACCTTATCTCAAGCCTCATAGTTGAAACTCTTCAATCACATGAGAAGTTGGACAGACAAAGAACAACGATGGAAACTCGTTCAAACTGCTTGTGGGCGACATGACTCCGTAAATCGTCTGATGCAATCCAGGCAGTGATCGATGCCACGGCGCAAGGGTTGCGTTTCGATGGCCACGGAGCCATCTCTGCACGAGGCGGGGTATTGGGGTGTAAGGGTCACTAAGTCTAAGACCCTGAACCTTACCTATAGTCTCCATTGTAGCTCCTTTTCTTGGTTTAAGCAGTGATATATATGAAGGATTCTATAAGGTATCCCCAAAAAGGAACTACAATGGAGACTATAGGTATAGTCTGAATGGACCGTTGTTTGGGCTGTGGGTACTGGGGCGGTTCGCCAAGATCGCTTGGTACCTCAACTTTCAACCTGGCTTGCGTGGTAAGGAGCTGTGTGCTAGACCGGACTGCTTCCGGGACAGGATGTTCGTTGTGCAAGGCCTCTTCTTGTTCGATGTGCGAAGAATGTACTATAACAGTGGCGGAGAGTCTGCATCGATATACTTGTATGCTGTATATCAAGAGTCCAGAGTTCTACTGTAAGTCGCAGAATAGGTCTCCCATCCTATCGGTTTACATTGGCCTCGCGATTCTCCAATAATTAACCGGCAGTGATGGTATTCAGCTTCTTGCAAGAGGAACTTCGCGACTTCTGTACGACTACCCCGAGTCGGTGCGATCCGCACCTGAGACAAAATTGAAGTTATCAGAAAGAAGAGGGTTTAGGGTTTAGAAGCACGGCGTGCCATACCGGGTGTGTGTCGTCTACCTCCTGATCTTGCGCGTATCTGGGACAAACGGATTGCTTGAGCCAGAACCATTTTACTTCATGCAGTCTTCACTTGCACATGCGCACACACCCCTAAACCCTAAACCCTAAACCCTAAAACCCTAAACCCTAAACCCTAAACCCTAAACCCCAAACCCTACACACACCGTTGTTGCTTCTTGCAGTCGCAGAGCTGACTCGCATGGCATGATAAGAGGTTTGCCTCGGAGACTCGGGTAGCTTTTGGCGGTCGGGGTTCCAAACCGGTTTCGGCTCCAAGTACACCGCTTTTGTGGTACCTACTTTGACTTTTGCCTTGGGGTCATAGCCCTAGTCGAGTCTAGAACTGCCGGAACATGCCGAGACCGATTAAATTGGATCGCTCAGGGTGTGCAGCATTTCCCCCCTGCGAGAGTATTATTAATTTTTACGTCACTGTGCCTCGGTAGCGATGCTCTTCAGCTGCTGTTCCCTTCTAATTTCCAAATGCATACGTATGGTAAATCGGCGGCCTATCACACCCACAAGCGTTAAGGAGATCTTGGATCTGCTGCCGCTTAGCCGCAGCCAGGGTATTCGCTCCGGTGTCCGACGAGGTGTGTGGGTTCAGGGTTTAGGGTTTAGGACCAGGTAGGATCTGAAGTCACTGCTGTGGGCTATCAGTCCGGTCGAGATCTGACAAGGCCGTTGCAAAGGACCAGGTAGGAGGGGCTGGGTATCGCCGGCCTTGAGCCCAGCCAAACTGAGAAGCTGAAGCCCTGAGCCATAAACCTGGGGCCCCCCGCAGGAGCAAACGGTTCACCGTCCCCCCAAACACCAGGGAGAGGACCAGTTGCCCGATGAGTCCGGAACAGTTTTGAACATCTCCGCGTCCCTCAGCGGACCTGTAGACGCTGAAGCAAGGTTCTTGCCGGGACATGCGGCATCCATACAGGCGGCTGGTCTGAACCGTCCAGAAACATTGCTTTCTTCTTGCTCGCGGTTGGTTCTCCCATGATGGCCTGAGTCAGATGGCTCATGCTCTTAGTACGTACGCTCATTTCATTTCACCACATCTTTCATCAGGGGTCTACCATCCATCGCCAGCGAACTCTGTTATCTAAGCATACTTGACTCCCAACCCCAAGAGCCCAAAGCTCTGAGCTCAACCCCCAGGTTCCTGAACTCGACATGTCTAAAGCCATTAAAACCTCGGACATGAACCCAACATCCGATTCCCAATGCTTATACCCTGAGCCCTGAAGCCGGAAGTATCTGCAATTAGTAAAGCTTCCTGCTAAACTGGACTGCACATGACCCTGGTGTAGTGTAGATAGCTTGGTGAGAGTACGTGCAATGCCTCCGGTCGTTTCTTCTTAGAACTTCAAGGTGATTCTTACATGTTGGTTCTTTGGAGATTTACTGTTGGGACTTCATGGCTGCAAGGTCTGAAAGTAGAACCTCAGGCAACGCTTGGAACCCAGGGGCTCCAAAAGCCGCACTGTTGTCTGAACTACTGCAGGTTAGCAGGTGTCCTTATGAGGGACCGTGTTGGAATCTCTAGGAGCGAAAATCTGAAGCCTGCTGCGCGGCAACAAGCAGACGGGCACGTGGACGGTTGTCACAGGCATGCCTGACACCTAATGGCCTAGCGGACGAAGGAAGAGACTACTTGTACGAGATCTGCAACCGGAGCTATGCACAACCTACTTGCCTTAGCCACTCGGCAGCCCCGTCGCATTACCCAAGAGCACTCGAAGGTGCTCAAGGTGGAGATGGGTGGAGATGCACAGTCTGGGCGACTGGAAAGCAAAGCAGCGATGCGCAACATCCAGGGTCTGGATATAGATTTGTTTCATATGTTGCCACTCTACCACATGGGGGGCATGTTTGTTCTTGGTCCCGTTTGAACATCAACGCCAGTGATGACATGCTCGATGCCCAAAACTAGTTTCCTTTTCTCAGCATGTTTTCTGCGCAACTGGAGACAAAAGCTGGTCAGAGTTTTACACTGGCGATGAACCCACGCCCTTCATACTCGCCAAAGCCGCAAAGCACGTCAGGTCTTAGGAGCCACAGCCCCCAATCATACCGACAGTGGAGTTCTTACTGCCACAGTTTTCAAAGGCTAAGTGACAGGACTCTTGCCTCAACAGCCAGAGCGGCAAGGTAGGCCTAGGTTTAGAGTCAAAATCTCTGAGACACGCGTCCGGGTCGAGAAATCCACATAGCATTACAGCCCCCCCCCATCTCATATGTCGCATAGTATTTTCGGGGGATGCACTGGAAGACTACTGTTGAATTGGGGCAGGGCTATACAGTACTTTTGCGGCCTGTAAGGACGGGAACCTATATCTTGTTGCTTAACCTGTATCGAAGCTCGCTCTCCCTCCCTCCCTCGCTCGATCGCTCTCTCTCATCTTTCTCTCGTTCGTTCTCTCTCTCTCTCTCTCACTCTCTCTCTCTCTCTCGCTCGCAGTCTCGCTCTCGCTCTCTCTGTGTGTCTGTCTCTCTCTCTCTCCCTCTCTCTGTGTCTGATTTCAGTTTAACACAGCACCGGAGACCCTGCGATTGCAAGAGCGAGTGTCTATCAGGACGTGTGAGACGAGTTCCTTTCCTGGTTGTTCTTCAGAGTTGAGTGTAACAGTTAACAGCATCCGAAACCATGCGATTGCGGGGGCGAGTTTGTACTACAGTGTGTGCTAGAATGCTAGAACGTGTAAGTTGGGCTCCTTGCCCGTTGCCCTTCACAAGCTCTCTCACACCTGCAGGCACTGCCCGGGATTTGCAGGCTCCAAGAGCCATAGGGATGTGGAGATGAGGGGACTTTTGGTTGCAACGGCCGCGGGAACGCAGGGTGCTGCAGCAACCGCAGGAACGTAAGACTGCAGGCTGTATGAGCTGCCAAAGGAGGGGTCTCACTGAGGAGCTGGAAGATCGAGAGAACGATCCCCTGGGCATGGAATGTTTTTCGACGGACCCATATGTTATTTTGCAGGGGGGGGGGGGTTATAATGGCCGAAAGAGAACGCTTTGCTTCAAAGTGTTTTCAAATTTTTCCGACTTTAGGGTATGAATGAAGTTTCAAGCCGCAAACTTTTGCGGGTCAAACCAATCTTGTGAGCCCAGTCTGCAAAATATCCACACTGAGTGATGCAAGATATGAAGTTTTCTCAAGCTCAGCGGTTCTTCCTGAATGCAGGGCTTCATTTTCTAGAGTCCCACATTTTCTGTCAACCCCATGTGATTTCCTGGCCAGTCCCAGCATGCAACCCAAACGGTGCAGCATCGTGCTTCAGGTTTGGAACTGAACCGAGCCACCGGCGATCTCGCGATGATTCGGTCCCCTGTCGCGTATTGCGCGGTGTGCTGCTGCTGTCCTGGAGATTGACCTAAGCCCTCAACAGACTGAGAAGTTGGTTTTGTTGGAGCGGTCGCCTTTGGCAGCTTTCTTGGCACGATATCTGCTTGTTTCTATGGAAGAGTGGATCATGCCCAGCGCGCGTAATTAAAGCTCTCAGCACAGAATGTGAGGACGCCTGGGCAAGATCTTTCGAATTATCCGAGGGTCAAAGCATAAAGGCCTAAAGAGAATTAGTGCCAAGCTCGTTGGTAACCATCATGACCACTCTGGTTTAAGATGTCCAGCAAATCTCTAAAATCTCAGACTGGGGCTCGATCACTATCGTCTCCCAGCACGATTAGCATAAGAGGCTGGTGGTTCCGCAATTCTAGTGATCCGGGCTTAGCGCCTGTAGAATTCAGTGCCCTTAGGCGGCAAGCTTAACGAGGGATCAGCAGAAAGCCAGAAGGGCATGCAAGCATGTGCAGCAGCACAAATGCCATTCCACGGCATGTTCTGCGTCAAGGAATGTTTGATTCCGGCACGCCCCGCCTTCACACGGGCACGGTCTTTCTTGTCCAAGATTATGATTAGAAAACGGCAGGGCCCGAGCAGTGGTTTTCGAAAAGCAAGGGCACACTAGCCGTCGTAGCCAGCAGCACAGGCTGAACCAAGTATATGACTCCTGCCGGGGCCAATTTAAACTTCTTTTCACATTCATACAGAAAGCTGATAGGTACGCAAGACATAAATAAACAAAAAGCACACACACACACACATATGTGTTTGTCTGTCTGTCTGTCTGTCTGTCCGTCCGTCTGCCTGTCTGTCTGTCTGTCTGCCTGCCTGCCTGCCTGCCTGCCTGGCTGGCTGGCTGGCTGGCTGTCTGTCTGTCTGTCTGCCTGTCTGTCTGTATGTCTGTCCGTATGTCTGTCTGTATGTATGTATGTATGTATGTATGTATGTATGTATGTATGCGTGTGTCTGTATGTGTGTATGTATGTAATGTAATGTCATGTCATGTCATTTAATGTAATGTAATGTAATGTAATGTAATGTAATGTAATGTAATGTAATGTAACGTAATGCAATGCAATGCAATGCAATGTAATGCAATGTGATGTAATGCAATGTAAATGTAAATGTGAATGTAAATGTAAAACATGTAAATGTCAATGTAAATGTAAAGTACGTATGTATGTCTGTCTATATGTATGTATGTATTTGTGATCATTTGTGAATGAGTGCATATGTACATGTTTGCGTATGTGTGCGCTTGCGTGCGTCCAGCCGGGCAGGCGGGCAGCCTTGCGCGTTTGTATGTGCCGACATGGGTTTGTCGAGTCCAGTTCTGGGGCTCATTGTCGTAAAGACGAGGCTGCACTGGGATTCGTGTCCTAGTTGTGACAGGCTAACACTAAGTACCGTGTTCAAGCTAGCCGGCTGTTGTGACCTTCTGTCTTCGCCAAGCTGAGCTCCCTTGACTATCTCACCCTCAGTTTAGTTTTCGGCTTCACGCGGAGAAGCACAGTAGCTGCCCCCTTGCCATGTCGGCAGCTTCCGCTCTAAGTGAAACCCAGGTTTTCCTGACATTCGGTGTCGTCGCTTTGGCAGGTCACTGGCGCGCACAGGGTGCGGATTTCATGGCCGGCATGGCATTGTTGTGGGCACCCGGAGAAGCCCTAGGCCCATGCCAAGCCAGCAGGATTGAGGAGGAGCTCGGGCAGGTACGGCTAGAGATGTTCTTCTCCTTCTGCCGAATCTTGGTTCAACGTGGTTCTGTTTCTTTGTCGTTTTCCTTTCGTAGCAGGCTTGCAGGTTCTTTGGTCTGGATTCTATGTGATTGCCTCGAGGAATTATGGTGCACATTTTGATCTTGGCTGTGCCGGTGTCTATGGCAGAATGCTGGCGCAATCCTGGATTTTTTTCTGGAAGTTGGGTCGTCGCTACGACGCTCCTCTACATAATCTACAACTTGGTCCGCTTTGGTAAATGTCCGTTAACAGTTGCACGTCTCAACTTTTTCTGCATCCTTCTGAACGGAATCATCGCTGCTGCGGTTGCGTCAAGCGGTTTTGCAAACCGCGAAGACCACATGGGCTGTTTCGGAATGGGTGTCGCCAGTCAGCTTCTATTGAGCCTTCTGTTTCCTCCTAGCTGGACCATGTTGGTTGCCTCGGTGATCTATTCCGTGGCATTCGTGTTCAGCACAGCGATGGCCCATGGACCTTTGGCACTGAATCGCTGGTTCTTGCTACAGCAGATCTGCCAGTTCGGCGTCAGCATTGCCATCCCTGCCTTTGTAAACTGGACACTAAAAGCTCGCATCTCCGCTGCCTTTAAGTCGAAGGATGCCGATGCCCTGAGTTTCGGGTTTCGGCAGGTGCTCCGAGGCATCTGTGACGGAGATCTTCTGCTCGACAGCAACTTTGAGATTTGTGGGAATGCAACATGCCTCCAGCGGTTGCTAGGGAGCAACGAGGCCTTTGCTGGGCGCTTGTTTCATGACCTCATAGATGGTGCGGATGCGCGAAAGAAGTTCCACAAGTTCGTGGCATCCTCAGATCTCCCAACAGGAGAAGCCTGCTACGACGGCGGTGAGGCTACACCCCATTGCCTCAGAGTGCCACTGAAGGCACCCTCTGGCAGGATCGTGAAAGTAGATGTTTTCCATGTGTCTCTACCGGGACTTTATGGTGAAGAGTCGCATCATTTGCTTTCTCTGAAAGAGGACCCGGACTCGATAGTGCCGCTCGAGGCAACACCGAGTGGCACAAGTGCCGATCGCTTGCTGAAATCTCTCATAGGACCTCCGTCATCAAATCCTTCCTCTGCAACCAGCAGCGGAATGTGCGTGGAGAGCTATGAGGAGCTCGCAGAGATGACTCTGCTTCTGAACGCAAGCACGGAGTTGGTGGACATCGAGGAGGCACACTTGCGCTTCATGCGGCAGAAGCACGACGACGACGTCAGGATGGGCAGCTTGGACCGGAAAGCTCCATCTCCCTCCCTCCCTCCCTCCCTTCCCTTCCCTCCCTCCCTCCCTCCCTCCCCCCGTCTGTTCCATCTCCCTCCATCTCCCGCCCTCTCCCCCCCTCTCCGTGAAGTGGCTGCCTTCGCAAGCGAACCAAGAAGCGGGATCCTGTGTGTGTGTCTGTGTGTGTCTGTGTGTGTGTCTGTGTGTGTCTGTGTGTGTGCGTGTGTGTCTGTGTGTGCGTGTGTGTGCGTGTGTGTGCAGTGTGCGTGTGTGCGTGTGTGCGTGTGTGCGTGTGTGCGTGTGTGCGTGTGTGCCTGTGTGCGTGTGCGTGTGTGCGTGTGTGCGTGTGTGCGTGTGTGCCTGTGTGTGCGGGGGCGTGTTCGTGTGCGTGTGCGTGTGCGTGTGCGTGTGCGTGTGCGTGTGCGCGCATGTGCGTGTGGGCGCGTGGGCGCGTGGGCGCGTGGGCGCGTGGGCGCGTGGGCGCGTGGGCGCGTGGGCGTGTGGGCGTGTGGGCGTGTGGGCGTGTGGGCGTGTGGGCGTGTGGGCGTGTGGGGGTGTGGGCGTGTGGGCGTGTGGGCGTGTGGGCGTGTGGGCGTGTGGGCGTGTGGGTGTGTGGGTGTGTGGGTGTGTGGGGGTG